GCATCTTTTATAACCTTGCTGTGACCTGTCAGTCTTTCCTGTCGTACATTCTACGAATCTATTGTGACTAATCACCACCAATGTTTCCCATGTTATAGTATTTTGTAATCGAATTCAGCCTAGCACGTTTGTCACACAAATACGACTATTTGTTTTGACACCCCATAACAGCTAATCTGTTATTCTACATTAAAAATGTATCCACCGCATAACTGGCCATTATTGTAACGACAATAAATATATATTATATTTTATAATTGTAAGGACCTGAAGAGGAGAAATTATTAGAAAGAATATTCTTCGTTCAGACTGACTTTTAATTCATGATATGGAAATATTTCATCTTATCAGATATACATATGGCCCAAGTGGTCTATTGGATAACGCTCTGGCGTGTGAAACTATAGGCACTGGGTTCGAGCCCCACTGGTGGGAACATCATCACTCGCTGTGGAATGCAGATACACCCAGTGGCTGACGAGGCAGTCCCAAATAGGACGAAATTCGCGTTATCCTGGATCCCACTGCCAATCACCCACCATCCACCAATCATCTTCTGATATGCATATTGGCTGACGGTGTACGAACTTATCTCATGCAGTTCAAATTTGATCCTAAATCTCGTAACGACTTAGTTCAAGTCCGTACACATTCCCAAACAACAGCAACAACTACTTAACAATAGAACGTTACAAGTATCAGGGATGACATCAGTTTTACAACCACAAGTGAATTCAAAGTTCCACTTATGCTTGCCTAGTAGATATTTAGATAATCTTATCAAGGAGGCTACTCAAGTACCCGTAGATTTCACAAATAAAGTGAGCAAAAAATGAAATTGGATAGCCATTAGCATAAAATGACTTAAGGCATACCACTTAACAGAACGATGTTGTTCACAAAAACTGGATCTTCAAAAACACTTTAGCTTAATTACGTGATTGTTTTCAATCACAGATCAGTTGTGCTTTTTTTTTACTGGGGTTTGTTTTTTTCGTGAACAGATTTTTCCAACCCTTGTCATTCAATGCTCAAGTGTCATTGAATAAAAGTATGGGGGATTGACAAAATAAAAAAAGGAGGATAGAGAGTGGATAAAATTAATCACAATTAATTTATGCTTTTAGTTTTGTTCTTTTGATTATAAATTTTGAGTTCATAACAATATTAAAGCACTTACAACTTTACTATCATTTAATGAAGTGCCCTGGAATTTTTACTAATAGCTTTAAGAGTTTCTAGTTATATAGAATATTAATTAGTCTTAGTGTATAAGTAGTTTTGTTATTCAAGTATTGGTTTCAAGGGGGTTTGATTTGATTTGGTACAGGATTTCATCATGAGCTGACATTGCTTAATGAACTATTGGGAAAGCCACTAACGGAGAACTGCCAGACAGCTGTTTCGTCAGTGTACTTTGGGAATCTTCAATAGTACACACCAAACCCAGTGACAGGGTTCAAACCCGGCAAAGGGAGCTCGCTTGTAGACCATTCGGCAACTGGGACCCGCCAATCCAATGGTCAGTCCATGAATTCCAAATTCAGGTAGGTATTTACCTGGGTTCTAGTGAGAAGTCATAAACAGTGGGGTACAGCAGGTTGGATGTGTAGACAAATACTCCCCAGTGATGATATTTGTTAGTGCCAGCCACGCTATATCCTGCGTCAAAAGTTGGAATTCATGGACTATTCATTGGATTGGAGGATCCCAGGGTCTCAGTCTTCTAGGAGCTTGTCGTTGGGGTGGGTGAGTACTGATGAAGAGTTCCAAGGTAGGCTGACGAAATAGCTGGCTGTCCAGTTCTCGAGTGGTGAGTGGTTTTAAAATGGTTCTCTAACGGATGTCAGCTCATGAAGAAATCCTGATGTATCATAACACTTTTGGATAGTGTTACTGTCTCTATCAACTTTAAGACTGATAATCAGCTGGCTGACCCGCTATTGGCCACTTTCAAGGACAAATACACTTATGAATTTTACATAGGTCAAGCTGAAATATTGAAAAAAGTGAGCGTCCAGCGTAAGAATACGCCTAACCTGTTTTGACTATTAGTCTTGTTTGCCTAAAGTTTCAGTCAGTAGGCACCTGATTCTAAGTTTCAAATAAGCTCTATTCTAATGATTTTGTTTCGCATTACCTGATTCTGACAAAGATTTGTGCAGAATATAATGCTACCATCATTGTTTATTTCGTAGAGTCCTCATCACCTGCTTACAGCCCAAAAAATATTATTGGGTTTATGTACAGAAATAGTTCTCATATATTTACCCAAAAGGGTTCATTTTTAGAACAAAATATCACTGTATGCAATCAATGGTTATAATACTAATAATAATCAGTTTATCCCAAACAGCAATAATAATCATACAGAATGGGATTTTTGGTGTTGCATGATCAAATGAAAGAGGGGGTGAAAACATTCAGTAACCAGATGGGTAAAGAAAGACTGATAACTACTTCTTTTTGAACACATAAATTGAGTTCCAGGCATTTAATGAAGATTGCTTCGGCAGAACCTGAAGAGAATCGAAGTCTTTTATCTTTCAGTAATTCTGAATAGTATTGCGATGTCCACCTCATGTTATGTGTCAAGGAGATCCCTGGCAATGGCAATGTTCAAAGCATTTGTTCCCTAGAGACGCAGATGTTTTGGTGTATGTTCGGAAAATCGAAGATGTGCGCTTCTTTCTGTTCTGCCGATGTATATTCTCATGCAGATGCATGTAAATTTGTATACACCGTTGGAGTTAACATGAGAATTGGATCTGTCGACCTTTGTTTGATTGCATCAAAGATGATTATGTTGTCCGACAGACAGGAAACAATTAAGCGATACGATAGGCTCCGGCAACTGAAATATTCATTGATTGATCTGCCGAATGTTCCTTCAATAGTATCACCTTTAAAATCTAGTTGAATGAAGAGAGACTTATTTCCTACTGTGATTTGTTTGGCATCAGGGCCTTCGCATTTGCAGAACTTGTTTTAATGAACCTCTGAGGGTAACCGTTGTTTTTCAACATCTTTTCGAGAATCACAAATTCTTCCTGTGATTTCTCTATAGACCATATTCCCCTGACTATATAAAACAGAGTTTTCAATAGCGCTTGTTCATAGCTATTTTTACAATAAATATTGAAATGCTAGTATTGTCCATTCCATGTCGGCTTTCTGTAAATTGACCTCCGGAGACAGTCATCTTCCAGGCATTGCATGACAATGTCGAGGAAATGAAACTTTCTATTGCTTCCATGTTCCATTGTAAATTCAATATTTGTATGTGTGTCGTCGAGTAGTCGGAATAGGTATGAAGCACGATTTTCGAAGCTATCGATATGCAGAAGAGTTCGATCTCCATCAAGTGCCTGGAACACGATTTATGTGCTCAAAAAGAAGCAGTTATCAGTGTTTTCTTGCCCACCACCTGGTAACTGGATGTTTTCATCCTCTCTTTCATTTGATCATGTAACGCCAAAATTTCGATTGTGTATGATTATTATTGCTGTTTGGCATAAATTGAGTAGTATTAGTATTATAACCATTGAAACGAGAAGACAAGCATATGCTGGACCGACATGAAGAACCTAGAAGACCTGGATTTCGCGGATGATTCATGTTTGATGTCACACAAAATCGAAGACTTACAAGCGAAAACCGACAAACTGGTCGAAGGAGCAGCAAAGACAGGAATCCAGGTGAACATAGACAAGACGGAGGTTATGAAAATAAGCAACCAACCAACAACAACAGCAGTAGCAGCATCCAGCGACAATCACCATCAACGGGAGGGATTTGAAAGAGGTTACTTCATTCGCTTATCTAAGGAGCATTGTCTCAACTACAGGAGGAACGGACGAGGATGTCAAATCGAGAATCGGGAACGTGAGAAACACATTCTTCAACCTGAAACCAATCTGGAAATCTTCGCCACTCAGCCTGCATCAACAACAAAATGATTCGGATTTTCAATACAAACGTCAAGTCAGTCAGTTCTTCTATACGGATGGATCAGAAACTTGGCGGGTCACAAAGAATATTTCCAACAGCCTGTTGCAGACCTTTATCAACAGCTGTCTTCGCTGGCTCTATACTGAAGATCAGATGGCCGGGAAGAATCACAAACAAGAAACTATGGGAACAAACAAAACAAGAACCAATCGCTCAACAAATATGCAGGAGGAGGTGGAGATGGATTGGACGTTCGCTGTGGAGGCCGCTGGGTGACATCGCGCGTCAGGCCATAGCTCGAGTGGAACCCGAAAATGGGAGCGACGAGTGGGACGTCCAAGGGTGACATGGAGGAGATTGTGTGAAGAAGAGTTGAAACAGTATGGACTAACATGGATGCAGGTGAAAAGTACAGCAGAAGACAGAAGCGAGTGGAGACGTGGATTTGAAGCCCTATGTTTCACTAGGACGTAGCCTCTTTAAAATTTCTGCTGTTCATGTTGATTGGTGCTGCTTGATGTCACTGTTTGTGCGTGGGTATCTTTATCACCTCCATCGTCTCTATGTTCATCTGGAATTCTGCCTTTGCCTGTTGCTTCTTCACCCAGTTTGTTGGTTTTCGCCTGCCTACAAGTCTCCAAGTTTGTGTGTCATTAAAACATAAATCATCCACACGCAAAATCCAAATCCTTTAGAGTCTTCTTATCGTTCAATGCAGCGTATTCCCGTCTTCTCACTCATTCCTAAATGGCACAGTCTAACGCATAATCCAGTCCACTACAATGAGGAATGTCATCGTTGGTGATAATATGCAGGCAGCCAGCCTTTTCTTTCTCCTGTATTCACTTCAAAGCCAGACTTCGCTTAATTTTCCTCTACGGATCGATCGCCTGAAACGTGGCAGGCATTGTCATATAACCATTTGTTGAATGAGGTTGATAAAGACTATGAGCACTGTCACCTAGCCGGTCCCAAGCCCAGGAAAAGTGTGACAGTTGAACGTGGCGCTAGCGATTCTCCTGCAGAAAACTAATCTACCTTCCACAGAAACTTTCACCCACTAGAAAATATTAAAAACACTCACTTGTATATACATAAATGTCATTAATAAGGAATGATTTATAAAAATACTTTATCCTATACACTAAAATATACGCCGTTGATATCATCTGATCACTACTCATGTAAAGCTTCAAAATTAACAACTCTTGCTTTATCACATTCTATATCTTCATTTTGTTTTCTTCAAATATTTTTTTAGTGAATGTATTCTGTCAACGACATTTATTAGAAATATGCCTCTCACCGATCAGTCAACCGCCATATCAAAATTTAGCTGAAAATCTACACCTACGTCGATCTATTGCATTTGTAACCAATTTAACGCTTCATCAAAATTTCATTGATACATGCAGACTGGATGTTAAACGGAACAGTTTACAAGGCAAACAATGGAACCATACAACAGTAAATCCTGTGAGAGCTGAACAACATCAGGTACTGTGTAAAACTATCGACTGGAGACAAGATCCTACAAGGACTCCATGTGGTATAAGTATTACAGAATACATGGTAAGTGAAGGCAGTTCTCACAACGTTTTTTTTTCAATACCTCTATTTATTTATTTTTTTTTCTATTGAGTGAAGAAAAAATGTCCCAATAATCTGTTGTTGAAATCCATGACCTGCCAAAAATATGACTTCTCTTAAAAATGTTATACATCAGTAAATAAGTTAATAAACACAAGTAAATATAATTTACCGCGTTAATTATTTAGATTCAATTTAACCCCACCAAATTCTTGATACAATTAAACTAATTTGCATAGTTAATAAGAAAATCTCTGAGATTAATTTATGAAGAGTGTAGAAGTGCAAAATGAATGTATTCCTTGTTATTCTTGTTATGGAATATACAAACTAGATCATAGGAAGTATTAAGAAGACGGTCACAGCGAATAAAATTTTCTTTTCGGAGAAGTCATCAGGTGGTAGTAAAAGTGTGCAAAAGTTCCAGGACAATTACAGGTCAAAAGTCAATATAAAATTGATACCGAAGTAGAACTTCTCCGTAGATGGGTTTCGAAGTCTTTCAGTAAAACACACTGTAACTATGCGCCAGCCTACCAGTAATATTCTCCTGCAAGAAACTAGTAAACCAGCTTGTGAAAGACAAGCTGTCGCATTGGGCCACTTTGGTATCCACATATCAGTTCACTGGCTCGTGTGAAATCGAGTAAATTGGCCATACGTAATATGTATCCACTTGTAAAAAGCGCTAGGGAACACGATCCAGCATGATTTTAAAAGTGACAATGCAACGGTACATACATTTTGGTGACAGGACATCTGGTGAATTCAGGACATTCAGCCTCATTTCAAAAGTCCTTCAAAGTCATATACAGAATTCGACCAAATCGCCCCTGCAAAGGGAGGGAAATCAAGGCATCTGGTTGTGAAGAGCTGAGACGATGGTGATCCAAAAGCTGAAGCCGATGCTATGTTTTCAAGAGGAATATTATTCATCTTCTTACCACCAGTAATTTCTTTAAAAAGTTTCCATATATTAGAGGCATTTTTACAGGAATATAAACTTCTCGTCATACATTGAATTGAATCTGTGCATTTCAGACTTGATTAGGATGTTAATTCTTTTCAAACCAATGTTATCCTTTAATTTATAAAAATTTCCTTTTCGCCTGCGAAGCTTTTTAAGTTGAGGGGAGGAGAAAAGGTCAAATATGATGAAGAGCGTTTCTCTGGGACAATATGGGTCAAGACAAAATTTGAGATAACATGTAATATTAGGGACAGTGTCATCAAACAAGTCACACCTTGTTTCTTTGAGCATATTCCTAGGATTCTGAACATTCTCCTTGGAGTAACATCCGTGTACAGTTTCCTGGGAAAGGTGTGAAAAAGTTCTCTTGTATAACTTTCCATAAATTCCGGGTAAAACCCGTACAATACAATGATCTGAGTTAAACAGTGGGGCTATTTTACGAGCTTCGTATATTCCGCAGTCATTTATAAAGACAAGATAAAGAGATGAATCCAGTCTGGTGGGAAAGTTAACGACATTTTTATGACCTAGCACTGTGAGAAAGCTGCAGTCACATGAATTAACATCACCTGTCACTATGGACAATGAGTTTCCAAAAGAGGCGGCAGCGAAAATAGTGAACTCATCAGCAAACATAGATAGTTCCGAAGTGCTACAACAAGGTGTGACATAAACGTTTGTTATACAAATGAAGTTCTACTTAGACAGGTGTTTAGGTCGACATTTTACAGTTATACAGTCAATATTATCATTTGAGAATTTAAAGCAGACGTTGTTGGCAAGAGACCACTGAGAATTGATAAAAGTAGCAACACCACCAACTCGCTTCTTCCTTGAGCTACTTCGGTCTTGTCTGCTCATACTGAAACCATTCAGGGAGATTAAACTGTCATCATATGAATCGTTTCTTGAAGCGTTAATACACCTGTATTAAGATAAATATTTGAACATAATAGAGCATCCAAGTAATTAATCTTGTTCGATAATGACCTGCAATTTGTGCTCATAATCACAGGAACAGTCATCTGATGCATTGAAGTACACTTTAAGGATCGTTGCCACCCACCATGATGCTTTTTCTTATATAATACGTCAATCATCAGGTTGAAGACATTTTAAATAATTTAAAGTTGGGAATGTTTTAGAAGTCGAATATCACAGTTAGTCGAAAAGACACTAGTTTTCATTTCTCACCAATCAGACTACACATGCAACTAGGCTAAGAATCTTCAAGAGTCCAGTAGCCCATACCCTATTTCTTGTTTACATCTGTAACAGGTAGCTATGAATAACACACCTTAATATTGCTATTATCACGAAACAATTATCCATTCTGATTCAACCCTAAGCCAACATCATTTAGACAGCCACTGGAAGACTCAGCAGTAATGGACAGCCATTTCGTCCTAGTTTGGAAATCTTCAACAATACACATCCACCAGGATTCGAACCTAGGACCCGTGAGTTACAAAATGAGCTGCCAGACTGATATCAGCTCGTGATCAGACCTGTTACCAATCAAATCTCTGCGAACCATCATATAAAAAAATTAATCTGACGCTCACTAGTTAGTGGCTCCTTACGCGAAGTTGCCTGGAGTTCTAGTGAGAAGTTTTAACTAGCGGCGTCCACCAAGTATGGCAAGACGACAATCACTAGTCCATGACATTGACTGGAATCTATTATTACTATATTATTGTACCCTTGGATTCCTAGTGGAACATAGGGCTTCAGCTGCACGTCTCCACTTGCTTCTGTCTTCTGCTGTACTTTTCACTTGCATCCATGTTAGTCCATACTGTTTCAACTCCTCTTCACACGATCTCCTCCATGTCACCCTTGGACGTCCCACTCGCCGCTTCCTTTTCGGGTTCCACTCTAGTGATGGCCTGACGCGCGATGTCACCCAAAGGCCTCCTCAGAGAGTGTCCAATCCATCTCCACTTTCTCCTGCATATTTGTTGAGCGATTGGTTCTTGTTTTGTTTGTTCCCATAGTTCCTTGTTGGTGATTCTTTCCGGCCATCTAATCTTGAGTATAGAACGAAGACAGCTGTTGATAAAGGTCTGCAACAGGCTGTTGGAAATATTCTTCGTGACCCGCCAAGTTTCTGATCCGTATAGAAGAACTGACTGACTTGACGTTTGTATTGAAAATCCGAATTTTGTTGTTGATGATGGTGAGTGACGAAGATTTCCAGATTGGTTTCAGGTTGATGAATGTGTTTCTCGCCTTCCCGATTCTCCATTTGACATCCTCGTCCGTTCCTCCTGTGGTTGAGACAATGCTCCCTAGATAAGTGAATGAAGTAACTTCTTTCAAATCCCTCCCGTTGATGGTGATTGGCGCTGGATGTTGCTGCTGTTATTGTTGTTGGTTGGTTGGTTGGTTATTTTCATAAACTCCGTCTTGTCTATGTTCACCTGGAGTCCTGTCTTCTCTGGCTGCTTCTTCGACCAGTTTGTTGGTTTCCGCTTGTAAGTCTTCGATTTTGTGTGACATCAAACATAAATCATCCACGCGCGAAATCCAGGTCTTCTAGGTTCTTCACGTCAGTCCAGAATATCCCTGTCTTCTCGTTTCCCACTGTCTGATTGGAGTCTACGTTATACATATTTATATATATATATATCATGAATTGGCAGAAGTTGGAATTCATGAGCCATCCGATCAGCTCCCCGTGGCTAAATAGTCTACGAGATTGCCTTGTAACCGGAGAGTCCTAAGTGAATGTATACTGCTGAATAGTCCAGTACTCTGTGGTTTTCCAGTGATTCTCTAACTGTTTCTCCAACTAGTATTCAAGCCAGTGATCAATAAAATCCCTACAAAACAACACCTGGGATTATCCATTTCCCTTTATTGACCATGTGACTCTAGTCAGTGTTTAAACGAGATTTGAGCTGTTCCTCATGAATAAATTATTAGATAAGAATATCGTTTGCACGCAAGCTCCTGTCTAAACATCCCTCCCTGTCAAGCGAATAAGCTGATTCTTTTAAATCAGTATTTCAAGGATTCTACTTTTACTATATATATATATATATATGTTATTTCATTTTATCCTGATTTCATGAAAATAATTTCAACGTGTTGTCTTCTCTGGAAGGTTAGAAAAACTTAATCCTTATCAAAAGAAGTCTACAATTCCTAATCTTCATGGTGCTTTTTTTATTATAATTGCTGAAAGGCGAAAAGTCGATATTAGGGGTGTGTATTCTTGGCAATGACTGATTGTTTAACGCCTGTTTAGCTGGAAAAGAATGACTGTGTACATCATTGAGTTTTAAAATAATAGGCAACACACGTTTTAATGTGAGCATAAAACTTGAGCATCGTAGCAGTATGTAATTCCATATTAGTTTGTTTATTAGATGTATCACACAGTCAGCGAAACAGTATTATTATTTACTGGATGACGAAGTTTCGAACACAATCTATTATTGTTCATAATCATTCCATCAATTATAATCACACGACTTCGAAACTTGAGTTTTATAGTTTTCTTTGTTCTCTCCTATTTGTCGTCGTAAGGGTAGTAGAATTTTCCAGATATCCGAGTGGACAGGTGTTGAATCATTCCTATTACACGTACTCTCTTCAGTTGATTCGATAAACAAAGCTTCCGTTGTTATCAATCTCTCCCTCCACTCCACGACATTAGATTTTTAAACTGTCATCTTATCCCTTCATCTTATTGTATGGTTGATTGTGTGTAATTGCATGTAGTGAGTGCTATAGCTCAACTAACTATTCTCTACATTTCTTGTCTTATTAGGGTCAACTAATCTAAGTTTGATTGGATGGAGGATTTCATCATAAGCTGACATCAGTACGAGGACCACTGGAAAACCTGGGAGTACTGGACAGCTGTTTCACCCTAGTTTGAGACCCTTCAGCAGTACGCTATGTCATGAATTGACAGAAGTTAGAATTCACGAGCCAATGGATTGGTTGACTCCCAGTGGCTCAATAGTCTACGAGCTAGCTCGTCTTGTAACCAGAAATTCCTGGGTTCAAACGGCTGCGGTGGGTGCGTACTGATGAAGAGTCCTAAGCTAGTGGGACGAAACAGCTGTACAATGGTTCCCTTACTGATGTCAGCTTATGATGAAATCCTCCATCCAATCAAACAAAATCCCTACAAAACCGATACTTGAAAATCAAGCTAAATTTTACTAGGCTTTTGTACTTCTCTAGTCTCACTGACTGATTCCGTTCTACTTCTCTCACCTATGCATTCGACCTTCCGGTCATTCCAGTAGGGTATTAGATAAACTAAGTTGCTTTGTTTAATTTGCTACACAGGGTTGATCCCCTAACAGACAAAGTTTGTTTCTTACTGAGTTTGTTGGCAGCTTGAATGCCAGCCACTTTTATTCCTCCCGCATTGTTAAGAATTCTCTTTAAGGTGGTTTACGAGGTTCCTTCATTGTATGGAAGTACCACTGTAGGTGTTGTCATTATTCTGTGCATGTTTGAAATGCATGTCGTCAATAATAATGTTATTATTAGTTTTATTTCAACATTTTCCTGTATACTTCCTGATTAATTGTTAGGTTTCAAAGCTTCTCTTCTATGCCTCTCTTCGTGTCTTAAATTTTCCTTGGCACTTTTCGCTTTCACCAGCCTCAATTTTAATGACACAGGGTGGTATGATCCAAAATCCAAATACCGATTTAAATGTGTAGGTTTTCTGTAAACACTGGTGTATTCCAACAGGCTACTCGAAGTCCCGTCAGCATTTCTTCCTCAGACGGAAGAATCTCCTAAATGGGGTTCTCCTACAAATTTAGAGATCGTTCATTACAGCCTAAACGAAAGTATGGAAAAAGAACATTCTTTATAATTATCTAAAGGAGCTATCCATTGAGATGCACGTTTAGTGTGCAGTTTGTATTCAGTGATGCTATCTGTAATCAGTGCGACATAGTTACGACCTCTCCTAGCGGATGTCTTCAATGCAATCTTAAATAGTTTCGCATCGAAAGAAATCATCCCGAGTCTGCATATGTATAAGAGATATATGAACGACACTTTAAATTATTTGTGATGACAACCGTTCAACTGCTGAACTCTTCAGAAAATTTAATAGTTATCACCCATGATTTTCACTACCAAAGATGAGTAGAATTTAACATTTCACTTTTTATATGTTTCGCTACACAGAGGAGAAGATAGCACATTGAAAAAAACATTCTACCGGAAGTCAACCTTTAAAAGACGGTCCACTGAGAGGTGGATACTCTTAGATAGAAGGATCTTTATCTTTCAGAATCCTGAAAATTTACTTCATACATAGAGTTGATGGAGAAGTGACAAACTCTGGTACAACACTCTTAAATAATGAATATCCTAGAAGGGTTATTGGTAGAAACATAAGAAAAAACAACCACTCCTAGTCAAATCATAGTCCCAAAGAAGACACTGTTAAATGAGTTTGACATTCAAGGGTGACACTATTGCTGAAGTTATTACAAGTGCATCTGCAATTAATATTTCCCAACCAAAGTATGATTCTACAATGCGTGAAGGATAAATTACCACTTATATCCAGCTCTCGGTGCATCTACTCTTTCACATACTCCTGTGAAGTTTATCACTCTAGGAGTTGTAAGCATGTTTTACGGAATACCACTAACTTCTGTTGATTAAAGGGCAGTGTACGATGTTGAAGTCTTCCACATATGGGAACACCTTGTATCAGACCATTCAACTTAGTGCTATTTATCCTTTAAACTTATCATTCTTTGTCATAATGATTTCGACAGGAGTACAATCAAAACTGAATTCAATAAAGTACATTCTGCTATGAAATTCTCGTGCAAAGAGGAATCCCAAGACAGAATTGCCCCCCTGGATGTCCTACTTCCAAAAAAACCAGATGGTAGCATAAAAAAGAAATTTGCGTAGAAAAAGCACATGGACAGGACAATATACACATTTTCACAGCTTCGTTCCTCTCCAGTACAAAAGAAATTTAGTAAAGACCCTCAGCCACAGGGTTACAGCTATATGCTCAGAGGAAGTAATTGAAGATGAACTAAGCATTGTATATGATACCTTGACTGATTGAAAATGGCTATTCAGACAAATTTATCAAGAAACACATGACAAAGAAAGAGGAAAAGGACTGCTCACTATCCTTGAACAAAAAGCCTCTTCATATATAACTGCAATTCATGGGCGATATACCAAGCGAGATAATTACGAAGAAATTAAAAAAATCAGTTCAAAGGACTTTTAATGATTGAGGAGTACACGCCTTATTCTCTACACGACTGATGGTGATTCCTCGACTGAAAGATGAAGTACCTAGACTAGACTAGCCACTTCCAGCTGTATCCACTAATTCAACTGCGCCTGTGGGGCGAGTTATACTGGCCGTTGCTCTAGCAACTTGATCTTTCGTGCTCGAGAACATCTCTCAGTATGGCTAAGTAAAGGTGTAGTAAAAATCATCAACAGTAAAATATTAGACCATCTAGTTTAAAGCGACCGGCCACAAAGCCAGCATTGAAGAATCCTTCTCTATCATCTACCGGTTGCAAAATAAATTTCCCAAAGCATCGACCTATCTCGTAGACCATTAAGCCAGCTACTGAGACCCGATCCAATGGCCAATGCCAATTCACAAACGATATAGCCTGACTAGCACAAGCCAATGTCATTGGTGGCGAGAATTTCTCCTCACTACGGACCTGTTGCACCTCACTGATCACAGCTGGTCACTAGTGAAGGTTTCCAATCTAGGCTCAGAAAACAGCTGGCTGTCCAGTACTCCAGTGCTGGTTTTCAGTGATTCCCATAACCGATGTCAGCTTATGATGAAATCTTCGAATCAGTAAAATCCCCGAATCTCTAAAGGATAGTTGCCAAATAGATAAAAACAGCTAACAGGCACACATATACACACACGACTGTGTACACATATAAATGAGAAATCAAAACTTCATCCCTCCTTTTCACAGTACAGGTCATTTTTCACTTTGTTGAGTAATAACAATAATAATAATAATTTGCTTTATTCCAAAACAGTACTTCTGATACAGAATGGAATTATCTGCATTTTTACTACAGTATTGCATCCAGTTTGTACATTATCAATAAATAGAATTCTACATAGATTAAGGAAATCTCAGTTCATTATGACAACAACATATTGGCATGTCGGTAGCAAAGCCAAAAATTGAACAGTGTTTGAAGGTGTTAGAGAGGTAGTAGCTAGCATATTTATTGGCGTAAACGGAAGAAAGAAACATAGCAGCACATAACAGAAAAAAAGAGAGAGAAAAGATAAAGAAAGAAAGAAAATGTTGTACCTATAAATGATATGAGTTAGAAAGACGAGATCCAGTTGTTCTACTGACTATTTAATGAATTATAGGTGTCACGCCTAATGCTTTCTTTATCGCACAGAACACGAGCTAAGTAGGGTATGGTTAAGTTTTTGTACTTGCTAGTGCGAGCATATAGTTTTCTATATAGACTTCCGGTTTTGCATGATGAGATGCAAGGGGAGAGATGTGAGTGAAGAGGGTGGTGTGAGTTAGATAAAATGGATTTGGCCCATTTTTCACATGAGTCCATGTGCCTTTCAACCAGAATATGAACAAGCTGGTTAAGTGGCAGGCTGCTTACCCTGCTGACAACCTTTAACATCCTGCGTAATATGTTATAGTCTTTCTTCAGTAGCCCGAGAAAAACTAAGGGGGAACAATAGAGAATAATGGGCGGAATGTGAGAGTTAACAAATTGTAGGAGTAAGGGTCGGGTTATACCAGAATGTCTTAACTTCTTGATGTAGAAGGTAAGACGGAATTTTTTCTTAGAAATCCTCAAGATATCTATCTATAAAAGTAAATACGAAAAGCTACTTCGATCATAACTATTCAGTTAAATGGCACATTCTACTTCCTGTTTTCAAATAATACACAAATGTATATTATGTAATAATACTAGATATTTTGACGTACACTTTTGTTTTTGTTTTAATAGAGTGGACACTTATACACTGGTTATCTTGCTGTTATCACTAGTCAAGAACACCGCAATCAAGAGTCTGATCTGCTATTTCAATTCACCTGTAAAACAAACAATGATGTACCGCATCGGGTGCCAGGACAGGTTTTTGAAAGGTGAGTAGTTTATATATAATATGTATATGTAGAAATTCTTCACCGATTGTCTGTTTAAATTTCAGTTTTGTGATTTCATAAACGATTTATTCTGTTGATAAGTCACAGTCTGACTATTTAATTAATAATAATAATCTACTTTATTTCAAAAACAGTACTTATAATACAGAACGGAGTTCTCAGCATTTGTCACAATATTGCATCTGATTTACTCAAAATATAAATAAAATTAAAACAAAATTAACCAGAGGAATTTGTCCACATTTATGAAGCTGCAGGTAAAGTGGATGCTCACAGTCTGACAAGATTCCTTTAGCAAATTTGTCACATGAAATCAAATGCCTGTCAATGACCATGTCAACGATATGGCCCAATGGGATACTTGCACTCTCTCTACTGACAGCCTTCAGTGTTCTACGAAGTATGACATAGTCTTTTTTAAGCAATCCAGCAGAAAGAATAAGGGTGAACAGCAAAGAAGAATAGGTAAGATGCATGAGTTGATAAACTGTAAGAGGAGGAAGGGTTGAGTTATGCCTGAGTGCCTTAACTTCTTAATGTAAAAAGTCGGACGAAATATTCTTTTAGAAATCACTAAGACATGTGAACACCAGGATAGATCAGAAGAAAGAATTTATCCAAGATACTTAACTTCAGACTTGGCTTCTATATCAATATCATCAATTTTACAACGGTCATAGGAATCAATAGCTTCATTTGACTTTCTATTACATTGGAAACTGAAATTAACAGTCCAACATTTAGAAGGATTCAGTTTAAGACTATTTGATGAAGACCATTTGCTAATTCCTGATAAGAAGCTGTTCACCTTAGTACAGTCTAGCTGGGAGTAAACAGACATTGAAATAGTTAGATAGTCGGCATACTTATCAAAGTTCATTTCATTAGAGTGAGGCAAGTCATGCAAGAAGAAAGAAAACAGAAAAGGAGAAAGGACAGTACCTTGAGGGACACCAATCTCAGTAAGCAATGAAGTGGACGACTTCCCCTGACATAGAGTGTAATGCTTTCTCCGTGAGAAATAAGAACGCAGCCATTTGACAACCCAACATTTGTCAAATGACTGCGTTCTTATGAGCACTGGGCTCGAGACTCGGTGATAACACCATCACTTACTTGTCAATGCAGGCACACTCAGCTGACGAGACAGTCCCAAATAGGACGAAATGTGCTTTATCCTGCATTCCACGTTTATTTTGTTATCCACTAATTGAAGAATTATCCTTTGAATTGTTTATTATTTCTGAATGAATTCAAATTTTCCACTTTTCTAAGTATAAGCTGTTTTATATCTTCAAAATCCTCATTGAGTTCAGTGAAGAGTTACTCTCTTCGTTGATGCCATTCTCAAGCTGTACAATCGCATACATAGAGAGTAAATTGTATCGGCAACATGTGAATTTCTCCGCCATTGCTGCTTCTGCTGTGTTTGAAGGAGTTTGATTGGCACCATTTTAGCAAGACTTCCACATATTCTGTAGATAACTGTGAAGTCCCTTTGTGAGTTAGCTCGGTGTCCTGATTTGATCGCTCAGGTGTTTGAGGATAGAGCTGTGATGAGGAGAGGCATCTTTTTTCTCTTTTATAAAGCTATGACTGTGGGTAAGTGTTCGATGATACGTTTGGACAGCAAATGCTAGGTACAGCAGAAATACTTCGCTTCACAGGTGGAGCAGGTGAATTGGTAAATGCATATTGAAGACAAAACCAACGGTGGTAGCTTATCTTTCACATTCATGCGAATCATTGATTTTTGGAGATAAAGGTATTCGACGTTCACCCGCGAAGAAAGTTTTCTTCATTGAGTGGGACATGTGAGTTGCGGCCATTGCTTCTGCTCTGTCTGAAGGAGTTTGATTCGTTTGAATTAAACTGCAGAAGCGATGGAGGTAATTGACATGTTAAATTCTGAATTTCGCATACAGAAGAAGTTTGTTCAATCATTTAATCTACAATCGACCTGATCTATCTTAACATTGGATACGTAATGCTTTTGTTTCTTCATTGTGTTATTTGCTTCACTCAGTCCCTTCCGTCTACCAACCCTTGTGTTAAATTGATCCTCGTTCAATTTTAGTTGTATTACCCTCATACCCTCAACCCCGTCAATTATATTACGTCACTCAGTTATCATATTCAATCTTGCTTTAGTTTCCAATCAATTGGTGCTTTCTACATTACGTAATTTCTCATGTAAATTTCTTATATATATATATATATATATATATACATATATATATGCGACTGTACAGCTTGAGAAAGATATCGCCGAAAAGAGTAACTCTTCACTGAACTCCTGTTCTTTTTGTATTTTTAAAGGATTGAAACGTTTTAAACATTTTATTAATTTGTGCAAGTAATGCCATCATCATGAGAACCAAGAAAACGAGAATCTGATAAAATGAAAGAACGAACATATTTGCAGGATAATACAAGGGGTTAACAATTCACTCAATAACATACTGCAGTATTGTCTGAAGACCAAATATTATTTTTATTGTTTTCTTTATGTTCCTAGGGGAACATAAGGCTTCAGCTGCACATCTCCATTGTGTTCGGTTCTCTACCAACGTTTACACCTGACTCCACGTCTGCCCACGTGCTTTCATCTCCTCTTCGCATGACCTTTTCCATGTCACCGTCGCAATGACGACCAACTAAATCGCCGCCTCTCATTCGGTTTTAAGACCTGGCGTGTAATGTCACTCATTTGATGGTTTGTTTTCTCAGAACATGGCCTCCAGTCCACTTCCATTTCAACATGCATATTTTTCGCACAATTGATTCCTGCTTGGCTAGTTCTTTCATTGCCAGAGACCCCTGTTAATGATCTTTTCTGGCCAGCCATCTGTTTTTGAGTAGTTTTGAGCGAAGACGGATGTTGATGAAGGTCTGTAGTTTGTTCGAAGTGGCCTTCGTGACATGCAAGATCTTTGATCCGTTTGGTAAGTAGCACTGATTTTACACTGGAGTTGAAAATCCGAATGTTATTTTTCATACTGAGTGCTGAGTAACGATCTCCATACAGACTTGATGAGAGTAATGAAAGCTTGCACTGCTTTTCCAATCCTGGCTGCTTTGATATCCTCATCAGTTCCGTCTACCTGTAGTTGAAACGAGGATTCCCAAGTAGGTGGGAAGGTAAAGGAGGTTACTTCTTTCAAATTTCTCCCATTTATGCTGATTGTTGTCTATTGTTGTTGCTGTGGCTGTTGCTGTTGGCCAGGAATCTTCATCACCCACCTATATTCTCTCTATGTTCACCTGAAGTCCTATATTCTCTGGATGCTTTCTCTACCAACTTGTTGCTTTTCACTTGCATATCTTCCAGTTAGTGGGAAATCAGACATATATCATATCGTCGAAATTCAGCTCCCCCAGGATTTTGTGTTTGTGTCCATTTTATGCCTGATTCCTCGTAGCCCACTGTCTGTCGCATTATCCAGTCTACCATCTGCTATCATGGAAATCATTGGAGATAGTAGGCAGCCAGCCTTGTCTTACTCCCCTCTTCACTTCTAAGGATTCCGTGAGTTTCCCGTTGCGGATTACTCGGCATGCAGCATCGACGTACAACTGTCAAATGAGATGCATAAATGTTGGCTGCACCCCATAGTAGCGAAGTAGTCTCCAAATCCCCTCTCGATCGACGCTGTCAAAGATCTTTTCAAAGTCGATGAAGTTGAGGTAGAGAGAGTTGTGAGTACCATTCCAAGCTTTGTTCAATGATGATCCGTAGTGTTGCGATTTCATCAATGCATAACTTGTTTCTGCTGAACCCAACGTGTTCCAGTCGAAGTTTTTCATTCAGTATGATCCGGTTTAGTATTTTGCTTGGGGTAGACAGGAGCATAATGCCACGCTAATTCTTGCATTGACTTAAATCTCGTTTCTTTGGTAGTCGGAATATGTGGCTATCCTTCCAATCAGCAAGTAGGTACCTTCCCCTCTTTCTACACCTTCTCAAGTAGTGGTGTCATCAAGTCCGCTGATGTTTTGGGTCCATTTTCAATGCTTCTGAAGACCAATTAGTTAGCTTAATTGTCGTGAAACAGAAAGTAAGTATGAGGGAATCATTGCTAGTGAAAATCTACTAAATTTAACTTATTTGTTGGTACAGAGAAACGAACAATCCTGAAAAATCAAACAGAGCTTCTGCCTTTAACTCAATGGTAATTCTCAATGAATACAAATACAGAACATGTAAAATGACCGAACTAGACTTCAGAATGGAGTTATCACAGGCAGGTTATTGGTTGGTGAAAAACAGTAAATTATACAGAAATTATTAGAATAGAATAGTCCATTTAACTAACATGTTTTACTGAATTTTATATAATTATAACGGAAACTGTTCAAGCCTTTCAAAGCAAGGCGGCCGATGAACAATAAAAGGAGGGGTTACCGTATATACACAAATATTTGATGTGTTAGAAAAGTTTTTCATTCGGAAACTAACTAAACGAAAACTACGCTTTGTTAGTCACTTATGCTTCACTGGACTTTTCAACAGAAATATTATGCAGTTTAAAGCAATTTAATTCCTTTTATGAATTTCGACAAAAACCCTAAAAAGATGTAGTTTATCTGAATGAAACGTGGTATGTGTATTTGCGCGATACATTTCGGAAATTCTCATCACACAGACGTGCGTACTTGCCATACATAGTTATGTACAAGGCCAGAGTCTGCATGACTTATTGTATACAGGTCAAGGTTACAAATAATGGGTGGGGAGATGACATAAGGGTGTGGGTAAGACAAAAAATAAAGGAGGGAGAGGGTTGAAAATATCATTAAGTAAATCGAAAATTAGTTCTAGATAGGAAAGAGTCAAACTTTAGGCGCCATTAAGTACCAACGGACAAATGACCTTGTACGCACCAAACGTATGATAAAGGCGACTTCTGCGTATAAAGTACATATCTAATCATGAAAATAATAAATTGAAAGGCACGAAACTGTTACACAGAAGACTT